GCACCTCCCGAGCCTCGCAGCTTCTGACACATCTCAACCACCATGCGCCCCGAACCCAAGAACGGAACGACCAATTGATGGAGCGATTGCGCAGCTGCGGACACTTCGCTTAGCGTCCCTCTGCAATCCCTGGAGAGGTCTTCAATGGTCGAGGACATGGAGCTGGCGCGGTTAACGCGGGCCGGCCAATATCCAACGTATCCCCGACGCTACTGGGCTGGGGAACTAGCCGCGCTCCAGCAACTGGCCCCAACAGCATCTACTGGCCCCAACGACAACTACAGGTCCAGCCAGTAGCTCGCAGACAGCTGCGCCACCTGCCCTTCGAGGCTCATCAGGCCAATCAGGCCAATGCCCCGACTCACCCTTCGCTTCAGGAGCCGACGTGGAGACCGTCCCATCCACAGGCGTTGCCGTGATCGGCGGGCAAGGTTCACCTGCTGGCTGCCAGCGACGACCAAGCAGCGCAGTTCCCATGCGTGGGGAATTCAGGCGGGCAGTGCGACGGGCATTCCACCGAAAAGGGTAAGAGGCGCGGCAAGGGTGGCAGGAGCGCTCGCCGGTTGCCTGGCAGGGAACTGTCAAATTACCAGCAAATCTTTCCGATCGCGACTTTGAGGAACTGTTTCTCGGTGGGTCTGGCCGAGGTCGCAGACGCTCCGCTGCGAAAGGCGAGCGGCGCAAGCTAAACCCGATGGGCAAAACCGGCAATATAATGACGCGCAACGGCCGCGGCAGGAACAGTCGCGTGCAGGCGCAGTGCGCGAAGGGAAATGGATAGGTAGATGATGCAGTATTTCTTGGCTCAGAGTTCCACGAGGGCACATCGACTTTCCAGAGTTAAACTTCTCACACACATCTCGTAACGCATGCTGTCTGATGGCTGGGTTCGCCGATGCTGCGCAGGCCGCGGGGAGGTGCGTGGACTGCCTGCATGAGGTCTTCTCTGGGTTGGAGGGCCCCGCGCCGTTTGAGGGCTGGCTCAGGTTTTCCGTGCGCGGCCGCGCGCGCGTCGACTCCGACAGCGACGTCGAGTTCGAGTTTGGCCGCGCGGCCCGACGCGGCCCCTGCAACGGAAGGCGGGCCGACGCGAGTCCAGCTCGGGCGCGAGCAGGGCTGGCGCGCCTTCAGCCGCTAATTGCTACCATCGGTCTCACTGCTGACGATTTAGCCGCGGTTCGGCGGGGTCGGACTTCCACGATTACCTGCGCGACGTGGAACCGACCCCCATTGGTCTGGCCTGGCCGCGGGCGGGAGCTCATGCCGAGGCGGGGGGCGCGCCGCCGGGATGGGCAATGGCCGCGCGCGCGATGGCGAGGGCCCTTCCCTCTCCCGCGGGGGTCGCGGTCGCCGCGTGGACGCGCTCGGGAAAGACGCGCGCCAGTGACTGGGCCCAGGCTGGTCGGGGGCGGCCACGACTCCGGCAATCTTTGGAGCGCGCCATCAGGTGCCCCATCGCGGGCAAGACCCAACACATCCAACCGCCGACCCGACCCGGAGAGATGCGCGCGCCAGGAAGCGGGAAATCATCGCCGATCGGGCAACAGATCGCGAGCGCGGCTGCCCGAGGTTCCAGAACCACCGCCCGGCGCGGAGTCCGAACCAACGCGCCGCGCCATGGTGCCTCGACCGCAGGGGCGCTGTCGGAGGCAAGGCGGACGGCCAGGATCAACGCATGCCCCTCGCCGAAGAGCAGATCTTGGCCATCGGGTTCGACTGCGGGAAGTGCCAGCGCGATTTTCACGTTGTCCACGGCGGCGCCGGTGCTCGACGAACTGGGCCCCCTCCGACCTGGGGGCGACCAGAAGGCATCCCAAGGGGGCGCTTCGTGGGCAGCCCCAACACAGGCCCCGCCGGTGGCCAGGATAATGGCGAGGGGGGAATCCAGGGCGCCGGCCAGCGGGGCGAACCGCCCAAGAATGATCTGGACATGGATCAAGAGGGCCCAGTGGATTCGCCCTTGCCTTCCTCGCCGCCGCGCAAGGGCGCTGGAAGCAGATCCCAAGCAGCGAAGCGCCCGACCAATTATCGGCGCGCATCGAGATTGCTCGCGCTGGGGAGCTGCCCCTCGAAGAGGGCAAAACGATCGTGGAAAGACCGCCCCCCGAAACGCGAGAGAGCCACTGGGCGCGGGGTCGCGGGCGTGGTTTCGGCGCCCCAGGACAGCTCCGCGCCCGTGCCCCAACGAGCGGTTGCTGCTCGGCCTGGCGCATCGCAGTCGGCGCAGATGCATCGCGTCAGCGCATGGGGCTCACGTCTGCGAGACGCAGGCGTCGAGAGGCACAGGGCCCTAGTTTGGATTATCGCAGTATTCCCCCTCTGCCAAACGCCTCCGCCCCCAGACCGCCTGCGCGACCGCCCAGGGCCAGAGGGGGCCGCGACCGGGAGATGGGGGATCCCATTGCGGCTGCCCACGACTGCGCAGAGGCGCTGGGGAGCCTTCCTCTCGCCGACGGCGGCGCCTCAGGAGCCGCCCCGCCTGCGCGCGGTGCCGAAGGCGCCATGTCGCACGATTGCGATGGACGCGCCCTCCGCGGGCGCGGGCGATCGCGACCTGAACCGCCGCGAGGGTGCAGACTCCAGTGCGGCTGGCTAGGCCACTGGCTCTGAATCACCAAGTCAGGGCGGCGCGCCTTTTCCGCCTCCTCCATTAGTGGTGGGCTGCGAGGGCCATGGCTTACATGTGAATTGCGATCGCAGGTGTACAGATCGCTGCCTGTCAGCTGCTGACGCATTCAAACAGCAGATTCACAAGTACTTTTGTAGGTAGCAACCATTGCGACTCTGTGGCGAATTCGACAACGTGGCCCAAGGCATGCGCAACGCTGGTATTTCGGCCAACTTGGAGCCGAAACAGCACACGATGACAAGGCACTCGGGATGGTGGTCACCAACATGCCGGCATCGGCCATGCATCAACGACGCTACAGGCACCCGGGTCTTTCAATGCATGCCCGGCATGGGATTTGTATGATGGTTGGGTCTCATCTGATGATGCACTGGATGATATTACCTGACGTCTGAACCGTGATGCGGTGGCGTCCTTGATTTGCAACCAACACATGCCGCACGTGACCTGTTCGCTCCCGGCGATGTCGGAAACGCGTGGCACGCGCTCAGGGGCGCAACGTGGCTGACTTCAGCTCTAATATTTCAGTCGCTCGGGCGGCCGCGCCCTGTGCATGCGAGCTACAAGCAGGCGTTCAAGACCGGGCATATTGAGCCTTGAGTCGTTATTTTCACGGGCGCGTTTGATGGGCTCTCCAGGCGACCCCTGGCATTTCATGCGTGGTAAACTTTGGGGGCGCCTCGGAAGCATCCGCAACGCCAGTTTGTCTTATCTCGGGCCTCTCGGGAGCCTTGGAGGCAGTTTGGGCGCTTCTCGGGTGCCGTTCTGGGGCATATTGTGGCCTCTATTGGGTTTTGTGTGGGCTTCTCGGGGCATCTCGGGGGCTTTTCGGGGCTCTCTGGGCGCCTTTTGGGGCTTCCTGGGGGCCTCTTGGGGCGGAAGGCTCAGACGTTCGGTTCGTGCTCCCTCTCTTGGGGCCCTCTCGGGCCGCGTCGGGCGCTTCTCGAGACCCTCTGGGGCCGGTTTGGGGCCCTCTTGGAGGCTTGCTGGGCCGTCTCGGGGCGGCCTGGGGGGCCCAGGGCCGCCTGGGAGCGTCGGGAAGCCGAAGCGGCAAGAACGCCCAGATGTATCCAAGACCGTAAGAGCATCAATGATTTGTTGCATTTCGGGGCCCTCATGGGATGCCTCTTGGAGGCCTTTCGGGGCGACTCGGAGGCCTCTTCGGTTCTTCGGAGGGCATCTTAGACGCTTTCGGGCGATCGATCGGCGATTCGGGGCCCTTTTGGACCGTCTTCAGGGTCTCCCGGGGCGCTCGGGGCCCGTCTCGGCACCCTCTTGGGCCCGAAGAGGTCGCGCGCCACCGCGCGGCAGTGCCCGGGGGGCCCGGGGGGGCCTGGGGACGCGCCGGAAGCCCCGGGAGTGCGGATCTCGCCATGTTTCGTGAACGCGCGGGTGATCACATCTTTGAGTTTAATAGCGTCTCGCCACGTTCCACTCGAGCGGTCTGCGAGTGGCATTGCAGCCATCGGCGGTCGTTTGTAATGCGTGATCCTGTCAGAGATTGAGCGAGAGAACAAATAACGTAAACATCAGCATCGCTTTTCGTCGCCCCCCCCAGCCATGGGCGGCTCAGTCAACGCTCACGCGCGAAGCCGTACAGTGAATTGGCACCGTAGAAAAACTCACGCGACTGCTCAGCAGACCCCCAGGTAATTATGGGAGAGGGTCGAGGTGGCTACTCCTTTTCTGCCACACCTAGACGGCTCAGGGAATGTCAGCAGCAGGAGCCTCGGGCACCCCCGGCCTCCGACGCTGTGACTCCTTTGCAACACGTGGCCCGTGGAGGACCGGCCCCCGCCGCCCCGGGTCATTAATTAGGTTTCTCATCCCGGTCTGTTGCTGCTGATGGGGCGCGGGACCTGAAACGCGTTCCAGATGCGGGACATGTCGACAGGCTTCTGCTTCGAGCCGTCAAAGACGGGGGTCAACGCAGACAGGTGTCAGCCAGAACGCCAGACCTTGCAATGATTTTGCAGAGCGAGGGGTGCATTGACCTGGGCTTGCGCGCAAGATCTTGCCGGATCCTGCAGAATCTTGTTGGATCTTGCGCAGCCCGATTGACCCAGGTTTGCATTGACCCAGGTCAGTGCGCCCCCGACTTCCGACGAAGGCGTCTATACACCACCTCCGTGCCAGACCTGGGCCATCCTGGGCCTGCAGGATGGTGTACAGACGCCCCTGGCGTCGGCCAGGAGAGCGTACACACCATGCCAAGGCCAGGATGGCCCTGGCTTCGCACGGTGGTGATTATCATTCACATCATCATAATCAATATCATCATCGTCTTGGTCATCATCATCATCATCATCATCGTCGTCAGCAGCAGCATCATCAGCACCATCCTCATCATCCTCATCATCATCAGCATCAGCATCATCAACAGTATAGATGCGTTCTGCGTGCGACTGTTCTCGTCTGCGCGAACACCACAACCGAAGCAGCGCCGGAGACCTCGGGGTTCGCCGCGCCTCGCTGCGGTCCCTGAGCGGGCCCGCCGGTCATGGAGGCGGCCGGCCTGCTGGCGGCGCCAGCCCCCCGCCGGGCGGGCGAGGCCGGCGCGGCGGCTCGGCCAGGCAGGCGGAGGGACCACGGCGAGGGTGCGGTGCGCGGCTCCGCCAAGGGCCTGCAGCGAGCAAGGCCGCGGCGGCGAAGACGTGGGCGACGGCGACGAGGCGGCGGCGGCAAGTGACGAAGGCGAAAGCGGCCAGAGGCCCGAGGCATGCAGCGGGCGAGGGTGCGGCGGCGGACTGCGGAAGCAAAGACAGCGACGACGGCTGCGCGGGCAAGGCTGCGGGTGATGGCGGTCAGCGCAGTGGCGTGCGTCGCCGCCGTGGTGCTCCTGGGCCGCCCCCTGGTGCAGCGAATTTTCTCCCTCGTCGTCGTCGTCGTCGTCGTCGTCGTTGTCCTCCGCCTCCTCCTCCTCCTCCTCCTCCTCCTCCTCCTCCTCCTCCTCCTCCTCCTACCTCTCCTCCTCTCATTCCTTCTCATTGTCGTCGTCGTCGTCCTCCTCCTCTTCGGCCCTTGTCTTCCTCCTCCATCTTCGGGGTCGCAACTCGGCGTTGGGAAAAGTGGGACGGCGCCGTCCCCGCGACCCATGCTCTGCTGGCACGTGGTCGTGAGGGGTGGGGGAAACCATCTGCACGCAGCTGATTCTCTAGCATCCCCTTTGCACCCCTCCCCGTTCGTGTGGTAGGGGCTCGGCGCCGCGGCTGGCCGCGGCTCGGAAACTGGGCCCGCGGACCTGTTTAGCCGGCTATGGTGAAGGGATTCATGGGGAGCAGACGGTCGCTTTTGAGCTGGCGAGTCCTTAGGAGAGGGGTCGTGGATGTTGGGGCTCCCCTTAGCTCCTTTTTTGATGCACGCGATCCCTGACTGTTTCTTGACATCGATGTGACGCTGCAACAAGGTGTTGAGCTGTGGCTTCAGGAGTAAAAAAAGTATCCATGGGAGGCTAGCTGCATACCTGCATCGATCCTGGCTACCTGTCTAGACCAGTCTTGGATTCAATATCTGCGCTGCTTGTTCCAAGCCGTGCCAGGATGGCGCACACCCCGGCCTTCGGTTCAGTAGTAACGGCGTGGCCAGAATCTGTGCAGGTTTTGGAAGTTGGGGATAGCACCGAAGTGCACCGCGCACCAGAGCGACTCTCCCACCAGAAGACCGGTGTTGGCTTCTTATCGGATGTGCGGCTGCGGCGAGGCTTTACGAAGGCGGCAGGGATCATTCCTGAGCTAAGGGCGTGTACGTCACATCGTCTCCGCGCGGCCAACAAACTGCACCCCGCCGATGTCCTATGGCTGTCATGTGGTCGTCCCGTGAAGTTTCCACGTGCGGATGTCCCATGGTTATCCCGCACCTGGTACATGGGTAGATCGCGGACACTCTTCATCGTTAGTCAACTGCACCAGGAGAACATAATGTCGGCATAGTGCTGGTTAGAACGCGTTGATGTTAGTAGCCCTATATGGTTATACATTGTATGTGTGGTAGTTCGGAGGATCGTTAGTTCAGTCGGTAGGCTGATGTATATACAGATCTAGTTTGCCGTGTAGAAACGTGACTACCCAGATGGTATCGAATAGAGCAGCCAGGGCCCTAGCACGCATTCCAGTCATGGGATACGTATGGCAAGCCAGCCCATCGTGGGAGAGAGTACTGGTAAGAGGGAAAGGGAGACCAGGGGGAGGAGAAGGAGGAGGAGGAGGAGGAGGAGGAGATTCGGCAGCACGAAAACAGGCAGTAAGACGAAACGTTGCTGGAAAGGCGTCTGTAATGCATTGAGTGTGCACCTTCGTAGGTCCAATCGACCATTTGGGCAATCAGAGCCCACGATGACAAATTAAGTGGTTCGGTACGAGAATAGATAAGGACAGCGCGAACGCGTGGACAGCAGCAGCAAAAGCAGAGAGGGAAGAAGGCGGCAGGGGGAGCGGAGAGGAGCAAAGAGCAGCAGAAAGAGAGAGGCAGGAACACGAGCGAGAGAGGAGGCAGCAGAGCCCTGGCTGCTCACTCGGGAGGCTTTGCGGCGCCGAGCTCAGCGCTCAAACAACATGCTTCTATCGAATGGCCTTCGGCCAATCCCGCGATCATGCCTGGGTCGCTGACCACAGGCTTCTGAGGGGTATCCCGGGGCCTCTTGGGAGGCCTCTTGGAGGCCTCGTGGAAGGCAGTTCACGGGCCTCTTGGAGGGCATCTTGGCAGCCTCTTGAGGGGCCTCGTGGGGGCACCTCTTGGAGTCTCGGGGGCCATAGGACGGGCTCAACGTGTCTGTTCGGCGTTTCCGTCTTTGGCCCCGCTTGGGCCGTTTTGTCTGCTCCTTGGGCCCTTTTGAGGGCCTCGGGGGCCATCCTGGGGCAATCTTGGGTGGGGGATCGCGGGCGGTCTTGGATTCTCTTACGAGCGAAAACGCGAGCGAGCGGAGATAAGACAAGAGCTACTAAACAGCTGTTCATTGTTGTCGGTCTCTGGGGCCCACCAGCAGGCGCTCCAAGACGGCCCATCAGGCCCTGAAAGAGATCCCCAGGACGGTGCGGTGGGACTACTCCAAATTCTTTATGAATCGACCCTCCCTTCATAAACTAGACCCCCCTCCAAATGCGACCTGATATACCGGACCCCCCTCTTCGACGGGGCGCCTTAATAAACCGGACCCCCTAAGCTCCAATCCAAAGAAACCGCCCTCTTAAACCGGACCCCCCCAGTTACAAAAAAAGCGCCTTAAAAAACCGGACCCGGGGGACGATTAATAAGGGCTTTCGAGTTTTCTCTGGCATGTCGGGACTTTGAATGTCGAACCGCACCTGCGAGGCCTGGGTAAAGTCTCGCGTCACGCACGGAGAGTGCCCAGTAGCGCCCAGAAATATCGGAACTCGGGCCCATGGGCCGCTTGAAGGGCATTCGCAATACCCAAACGACTTGGGGGCATTCCATTCCGCGCGTTGTCGACAGGTTGAAGGATGTAGGGCAACAGTTCGATCGGGCCACGTCTCGTCAGAGAAGTGTCATGTCACATAGGTAATGGAGGTTGTTGTGTAATAGGTTTGCGTTGAACCGATCGGTATCCAGCGATTTACTTCGAAATGATTTGGATTAGATCGCAGTTTGAACCAAGCTGGGAATACCGGTGAATGATTCTTGAGTTCGACAGGTATCAGTCGTGCTTGCTATGTATTTTTATGTTATAGCCCTACCTTTCTGCATGTACAATAATGATATGGTATGCTGGTATGTGGTGTCTAGGTGGCACGTGGGATTGTCAATCTGACGCGAAGTCACTCGCAAACCCAATCCCTCACATCCCCTGCCCCTTTCTATTCTCCTTATCACCCGAAGGGTATTCTTACACGTGCAGTTTACTTAGGGGAGGGGGGGCGGAAGGCTGGACGCAAATGCGGTCAAACGGCCGATGTGATATGTGAAACGACGGGCGGGATTGCGGGCTCGTGCTTTTGTTGCGATTTTGATTTCTCCAGGTCGTACGCGGTTTGCAAGTCCATCGGTTTCGAATGAGGGATTCGCGGGATTGGTGCGGCTCACTGTGGACACTGGCAGTTGGTGCTCTAACTATCGAGACATTCAGATCGGCACGTCCATTGTGGCTCCCAATGAAGGGTTATGCCGCACGCACTGCAATGCCAACGCCGATTGCGAATTCTTTATTTTCAAAGCCCGATCGGATTGTGGTGACTCTAGCTTCGACGATAACGTCTGTTTGATAGTGGGGAAGAATTGCACGATGCAGAACAACGCGTGTTTCGACTTGCATCCAAAGAACGACGCGGCTCTGGACTACTTGATCCACAGAGCGCCGGCAGCTTCTGTGCCTACCAGTGTGGACGCTAGCAGCGCTGTGAATTTTGTAGAGGACCACAGAGAGAGAGACACGGGCTGCTCGAACTGGGAGGACATCCAGGCGGACGAGACGGCACACGTGGAAAGCCGTCGCGATTGCAGCACTCGCTGCGTTGGAGCCAACGGCTGCGTAGCATTCAACTACAGGGAACGAGACGATTGCGAAGGCGCTCCAGGCTCCAAGGGGGCGTGCGTGCTCCTCCGCGAGGGCTGCAAGAGAGTCGAGAGCCCATGCTTCGATCTCTACCCAGCGCCAGGCGCTGGGGCCTCGAGCTCCCAAGGGAACTGGGCTCCGGAGGGAGCGCCGCCAGCGCCTCCGACGACGAGCGTGGGCGCCAGCAGCGCTGCGGACCTCGCGCCGGGCCGCCCCGAGAGAGACGTGGGGTGCTCGAACTGGATGGACATTCAGGCGGCCGTGCCCACGAGTGTCGCGAGCCAGCGAGAGTGCAGTGAGGGCTGCGACAGCACCGAAGGCTGCGTGGCGTTCAACTACGTGGAGCGCGTGGACTGCGAGGGCGCCGGAGGGTCGAGGGGGTCCTGCGCGCTCTTCCGCGAGGGCTGCCAGAAGGCCCACAGCCCGTGCTTCGATTTCTATCCGCGGCTCGGGCCGGAGGCATCGCTCGCCAAGGCTCGGACGAGGAGAAGGTACCCGTACCGCTACCTCTCGCCTCCTGTGCCCCCTTGTGGGCCTCCTGGGCGCCCTCGTCGCCACCGCTGGATTCGCCTCGAGATTCTGGTCGGAATGCGCCCGGGGAGAGGGCCCAGGGGTATGGGTACCTTTTGGTTTCCCCAGAGGTGGATGTTTTTCCGAACGCCAATCTTGGGGTTGGGTGTTTCCGCATCCCGGCCGTGGTGCGCACACCGTCCGGCAGGCTGGTGGCGTTCGCAGAGGCGCGCCACGGGGAGCTCTGCGCGGACTCGGACGCGGTGGAGGTCGCCGTGGCGTACAGTGACGACTTCGGCCGCCAATGGTCGCCCACGCGGTTGGCCATCGGCTCTAGCGAGTACCGCGTGAACAACCCGTGTCCGCTGGTGCTCGGTTCCGGCAGGATCGTGGTCGTGCTCTCTACGCACGACCCCGAGTGGGATGGCCACGTGGCCTCCGGCACGGCCGTTGTGTCGAGCGACGACGGGGGCGAGACGTGGAGCCAGCCGACGAGCGTCAGCAGCCAGTTTGGTCCCGCCAGCGGCGGGCTGCCCGGGCCGGGCGCCGGGCTCGTCCTGGAGGTGGCGCCGGGCAGAGAGCGGCTGCTCGTGGTCACGCACGGGGGCGGCTACCGCCGAGGGGAGGTCGGCGACGAGTGGGTCAGCACGGACTACATCACCTACAGCGACGACGGAGGCCAGACGTGGACCACGCAGCGCAAGGTCTTTCCAGGATTGGACGAGGGGACGCTGGCGCACCTGGGCAATGGCGAGGTGATGCTCGTGATGAGGCACCCAGACAGCGAGAGGCTGGGCCGCGCCGTGGCCCGGTCCAAGGATTTCGGGCTGACTTGGGGCGAGGTCGGCTACGACCCGAAATTGCCAGGTCTCGTCTGCCAGGGGAGCCTTCTGCAGCACGGATCGTCGACCTACTATTCTGGGCCCGTGTTCCAGTCGATACCCTACCAGCGGCAGATGATAACCGTGCTCCGAAGCCGCGACAGGGGGCAGACCTGGCCAGACAGCAGGCTCTTGGAGATCAACCCTGGGCCAGGGTACAGCAGCCTCATCGGGGGGGACGGCGACGGCTCTCTCCTTGGGGTCCTGTTCGAGACGAGTGCTGGTATTCAGTTCACGCCTGTGTCTTTCTGAGAGCCTCCACGGAGGAGGAGGAGGATGAGGAGGAGGATGAAGAGGAGGAGGAGGAGAGGGAGGAGAACGTCGAGGAGGAGGAGGAGGAGGAGGAGAAAGAGGTTGGACGGAGGAGGAGGAGGAGGAGGATCTGGAGGAAACGAAGGACAAAGATGAGGAGGAGGAGGAGGAGGAGGAGGAGGAGGATATAGAGAAACAAGAGCAGGATGAGCAGCAACATATAGGTCTTCACGTCAGCTGCAAGGATACAGCCAGTGATCGAACATGTTTACACGAATATCCTCGAGCCCAGAAGCGACGTGACTGTTCTCGGGACCGACCATCCCCTACTCATTCTCCCGCCAGCCGTTCCTCTTCCGCCCTTCCCTCGCAGTTTCCTCCCCAATGTTGTCGATCTGATCATCATATCCCTCCAATCTGCTCATGTTCCTTCCTCATTCTGCTCACTCGTCCCCTCCTATCGTCCCTCTCCCTCCTCTCCTCTCCACATCCAGCGCCTCCACCATCCCATCCTCTTCGCTTCCCCTTTGTGGTATCCATCGCTGCCCCTCTTTCTGATCCCTCCTCGAGGGAGATCAGTTTCCTCGGGTCATGTCTTGTGGCGAAAGACGACGTCCGCAGCTGGACCCGAGCAAAATTCGGGATCGGAGTCAGACAGCAAGCTGTTGAAGTAGTTAGGCACACGCTTCAGGCTGACCCCTCATCCTCCCCCCCCATCAACTGCCGCACTCCTCCCAGGAACATCGGAACAACGCGCCACCCCTCCCACCCCCTCCCTCGTCCTTTGTCTTGTGTGAGAGTTCGGGCATTGCAGAACGTGCAAGGGTTTAGGAGGCCTGGACGGGCTGGGGATGCCCTGTCCCTCTGCTTCCTCCTCCTCCTTCTCCTGCTCCTCCTGCTCCTCCTCCTCCTCCTCCTGCTCCTCCTCCTCCTCCTCCTCCTCCTCCTCCTCCTCGTCCATCTTTTTTTGTCTTCTAGACACCAGGCGAGTCGCTAAGGCGTGACGGGCGCTTCGCACAGGGATGCCTTGTCTCTCTCTCCTTCCTCTCCTTGCCTCTTTCCGCTGCCCACTTCGGCTCAACTTTTTCCTGGGCCTTGTGGGCCCCAGGCGCCCGGCGGCCCCCTGGGAGTTGATCGCGGGGAGCCGCACAGTCTGGCGCCGCGCGGCGGAGAAGCGCGGGAAGGCCCCGCCGAGGAGACGATGGCGGCCCACCGGAGGGCGGCAGGGCGAACGCCCTGGAGGCGGGCCAAGGCCATGCTCCCAGGGGCCCGAGGATCGCGAGTGGCACCGTCGCCTCGACGGGGAGAGCTGCCACCTGGGCCCCTTCGGAGCGAGGCGGAGCGGAGGTCGCGTTCGGGTCGGGCCACGGATGGCCCGGCAAGGATGAGGAGGGACCGCGGCCGCAGTTCAGGAGGGGAAAACACACAGACACAATTAATCGTCGGCTTCCAGGAAAAAATAGGAAAATATGGGAAGTGATGGGGAAGACGAAAACCCAGAGAATGTCGGGAAGATGTGGGGAATCCTGTTATTGAATCGCTTCGCTCATTCCGCCGGCCCATTTCGCATGACTGAGCCTCTTGGGGCCGCTGGGGGGCCTCTTCAGCGTCGCTTGAGGGCCTCCTGAGGGCCCTTTGGGGGCTTTTGGGGCCTGAGGCCTCCTGGGGGCTTCTTAAGGCCGAGGGCTCGAAGTTTTGTCTTGTGTTCCCCCTTTGGGGCATCGCTTGGGGTCCTCTTGGGCCCCTCTTGGGCCGTCTTGGATGCCTCTGGGGCCGTCTTGGAGCCCTCTTGGGCCATCTTGGGGCCTTCTTGGGAGCTTCTTGGGCCCTCTTGGGGCGATCTTGGGGGCCTCTTGGGCCGTCTTGGGGCGTCGGGAAGCCGAAAAGATGGACACGCCAAAATCTGCCCAAAACCTAAGGAAAAGTAATGAATTTTGCCTCTTGGGGCCCTCTGGGGAGTGCTCTTGGAGGCCTCTTGGGGCGTCTGGGGGCCATCTTGGGCGTCTTGGAACGATCGTGTGGCATCTCGGAGCACTCTTGAACCATCTTGGAGGGCTCTTGGCGGCCTCGTGGCCCTTCTTGGGGCTCTCTGGAGGGCCACGGGGGCGGCGCCCAGGAGGAAAACCATCTCTGACCCGAGTCTGCCGGGGATCGCCCGGGGTACTTTTCGTCCGGGGACCCCCACGGGCCGCCCCGCGCGCGCCGGAGATCTTAGCACGCCTCTGGCCCGTTGGGCCGGCGAATTTGTGTCTATTTAGCAGCCCATCGCGACCACGGGCCAGGAGGGCGCGGGGCAGGAGCAGGAGCGCGGGGCGAGACCCACCAGGGGTGGGCCCCAGAGGGGGGTGACATGGCCCGGGAGGCGCTGCCGCCCCCGAGCCCCCCCCCGCGCGAAAGCTTGCCCGCGCCGCCTCTGGGGTTAAGTCGGGCACGTCCCTTTACAGGAGGACTCTTCAAAAAAGGTCAAAAATAGTCAGGGGACGAACTTTTGCATTCTTGTTTGACTACTTTCGCATATCTCTGGAGTATATTTCATCTTTCGCCCAAAATCCGCCTGTAGGGGGACATGCCCGACCGAACCCTGGGGCAGGGCCGTCCGCCGGACCTGCGTCGGGCGCGCCCCCGCCGCGAGGAGGTGCGCGCCCTGCGAGGGCGAGGTCGGGGGCCCGACTGGGGCCCGACCGCGACGACTCCGAGACGAGGCGGCGGAGGAGGTCCTCCCGGACGGAAGCGCGACCCCAGGGCGGGCGAGGAGGGAGGAGGCGGAGCCCCCCCCCGGGGGTCCCGGACCCTCCGCCAGGATCCAGCCAGACGAGCTGGGGAGGTGCATCAGAGCAGCGGGCCTCGAGGGGGGCGTGGCACTGGTGGCCTTGCGAAAGGCACAGGCGCCGGGTTCGGCAAGGACGCCATGATCCCGCGACTTGTCGGACGCCGCGGTCAGCCATCAACGGAGTTTTGGGATGGCCGTTCAAATTTAGGGGGCGGCGAAGGAGTCGTGGCGTGCCGGGGCAGATCGGGCAGGCTAAGTATATGGAGGAGTTGAAGGACGCGGGCCAACGAGCCGCGCTGGCCTTGGTGGCCAAGGGCACGACGGGCAGCTACAACGTTGCCTGGCAGCAGTAGAAAGTGCCATGTCGCATCACGCGAGGAGCCTCATCTTGAATTGGCATGGCAGGGAGGAGAAGCGCGAGGAAGAGAAGAGGCGTAGCTGCTGCTTTTTCGTGGTGCGCCTCTGGAACAGCCTCCACCGCGCACATGGCACGACCCCCGCGAAGTTGCTGGGAGTGAAGACCCAGCGCGTGTGACTCGGGAAGCAGGGCCCGCTGCTGGGCGCGCCGAGGCTTGGGATGGCGCTGGGCTGGATCGAGAGCTTGTAGGGCCTCGGGGCAAGGAAGCTGCCGGTGACCGTCGGGATGCTCGAGAACACCAGGAGAAAGCTGAAGCCTGAGAGGGAACCAGACGACGCCGTGCCCTACAACCTGATCATCACGGCTTTCTTTGTCCTGATGAGGATCGGAGAGCATGCATGCGCGAGCTCAGTGGGACCACGACAAATCGCTGACGGGCCCTGCGCACGTAGCCGCGAAGTCAATGAGCAAGCTGGTGCCTGCCTCACTTCGCCCAGGCGGACGAGGTGGTTTTGTCGATCGAGGCGAGCAAGACGGACCAGGTTGGCGCCTTTGCGGCCTGGAATCAGTACAGGACGGGAGGAGAGATTTGCACTGCGCGGGCGGTTGAGCAGTACCGGAGGCACTTCGCGAAAAGGATGGGAGATGGAAAGGAGGCGCGCCTCCCGCTGGCGAGGTGGTCGGATGGCGGCCCACTCGCGAGGCAGAGGAACCGCGATGAGCTGCAGGCAGCAGTGGCGGAGCGGTACCCGGCATCGCAGTTCGGGCCCCATCCGCTGAGGATCGTAGGGGCCACGGCTCCTTGCCACCACTACGGGGGCACCGAGGTGGTGAAGAGGTGGGGAGGATGGAACAGCGGCGCATTCCGCCGGCATTTGTGGAAGGCCATCGAGACGGCGCGAGGAGCATCTGCAGCGATGGCCTCCTCGGTATCCACCTTCCACGTGGGCAATGATGCGGCGAAGGAGAGGGCCCGCCAGCGGGGCCAACCCAGGGCGGGCCCGGCAGGAGAATGAGACCCCCGAGGGGGAGAGGCCTGAGGAGCGTGCCCGCCCCAGTGGCTGGGGGTGTGGGCTGGCGCGCTTGCCCGCGCGAGGAGGCAGACCACGAGGAGAGGAGGTCGGGGCGACCCGCCGCCGGCGCAGTGTGTGCCCGCCCGATCAGCCCGCGGGCGCGTGACGACGTTCTGCGCGGCGCTCGCCATGCGAAAGCATCGCCGCATCGCATCGCATGATTTCAGATACCGCTCTGCGGTTGTCCCGCACGCCCCCAGCTTTAGACCAACGTGAGATTTTGGCGTAGCAGAAGGTAGGAATGTCAGTGGCTGGGACGGGCTGGGAGCATAATTTCAGATACCGCTCTGCGATTGTTTCGCACGCCCCCAGCTTTCTCCTACCGTGAGCATTCGGCGTAACAGAAGGAACGGATGTCAGCGGCAAGGACAGGCTGGGAGTGCCCTGTTTCTTTCCTTCTTTCCGCTGACCATTTAGGCTCCAGTTTTTTTTTTCTGGGCCCTGGCCTCCCTCAGCCTTCCAGGCCGAAGAGTATAGGAAATGCCGCCACGGCAGGCGGAGGCCCACCGTGGCGGCACAGTGTGTGCCCGCCCGATCCGCGGGCGGGCGCGTGACGACCCTTCTGCGCGGCGCTTGCCATGCAAAAGCGTCGTCGCGTCGCCTCGCGCCGCTCCGCGTTTGTCTCGCACACCCCCAGCTCCCTTCAAGCCGGTCCTCCCCCCTTTCCCCTCCCCTTCCCCCACTCCTTCCCCCTCCCCCCCCTTCCCCCCCCCTTCCCCCCCTCCGTGGGGACAGCACACGGGGCGACCGCTCGGCACGCCCTCGTCGGCCGCTCCCCTTGTATTCCGAGGCGCTCGCCTCGCACCGTGGGGTTCGGTGCGGCCCCCGTCCGAGGCCAGCAGGCAACCCGCCCGATCGGAACGATGGGGCGGGGAGGTCGAGCGGAAGCAGGCAGGTAGGAGGGGAGGAGGAGGGACGAGGGAGATTGGTGGATGCGTCCGGGCCTCGCAAAGAGGTCTTGGGTGATGGGGTCGACGGGGCCGATGCATCGGCGATGGGGTGCAATCCTTCGGCCCCATCTTCTCGGACCCAACTTGGGGGGTTCCAATGCAGGAGTGAGGGATGGGGAGGATGGAGGAGCGGCGCTCACACGGCTTCAATACAGGAGATCGCCCATTCCGGGGTCAGGGGTGAGGAAGGAGGAGACGCAGAACATATGTTGAATGATACCTGGGAGAAACCATATTCAAGCCTTTCTAGTGAGATAGGGCTATTGGGCTATAGGGCGATGGGCCAATGGGCTATGGCACTATAGGGCTATGGGGCCAGGGGCCTATAGGTCTATAGGGCTCGAGGGCCATAGGGATGTAGGGCTGTAGGGCTATAGGGCTATAGGGCTATGGAGCTATGGGGCTATAGGGCTATGAGTTTATAGGGCTATGGGGCTATAGGACCATAGAGCTATAGGGATATAGGGTTATGGGGCTATAGGGCGAGCGGGCTATAGGCATACATAGAGCTATCTGTCTATAGGGCTATATGTCTATAACGCTATAAGGCTATAAGGATATAGGGACATAGGGCTGTAGGGACATAGGGCTATTGGGCAATTGTACTCTAGGCTATAGGGCTACTGGGCTCTGGGGGTATAGGGCTATTGGGCTCTGGGGGTATAGGGCTACAGGGCTATATGGCTATAAGGCTATAGAGCTATAGGGCTCCAGGGCGTTAGGGCTATAAGGCTGTAAGGCTATAGGGCTATCGGGCCATCGGGCTATTGGGCTATGGGGCTGTAGGGCTACAAGGCTGTAGGGCTGTAGGGCTATAGGGTTATAGGGCTATAGGCTACAGGGCATCCGGGCACCCGGGCGGGCCGCGGAAATCGGTGGTAAACCTCACCTAACCATATGAATCCGCTAGGACCCCTACAGAGGCAAGCTCCGATTGGGGAAATGTGAGGAGGAAGATTGAGGATCGTGCCTCCTGGGGCCTTCGACACCTTCGGGGACTTCCTCGAGATCTATGGGGACCTTTTCGCGGCCACCTGAGAGGATGTCAGGCAAGGGCGGGAGGATCAGGAGCAAATGGGAGGAGGGTGAAACGATGAGGATGTCAGGGGGATGAGGTGGAGGGGTGGAGGATGCGGAGGAGGAGGAGGAAGATGAGGATGCGGAGGCGGAGGAGGAGGATTTGGAGGAGGAGGAGGAGGAGGAGGAGGAGGAGGAGGCGGAGAGAGCGGGTGGCGGGTGGCCGGACAGAACGGGAACGGACGAAAGGGGGAAGAGAGAGGTGATGAATGAGGTATGGATGGAGGTCGAGATGGAGGGAGTTCGGACGAGAACAAGGAGGAGGCTTTGATGATGATGATGATGATGCTGATGATGATGATGCTGATGATGATGATGACGATGATGATGATGATGATGATGATGATGATGATGATGATGATGATGATGATGATTGTGATGATGATGGTGATGGTGATGGTAATGGTAATGGTTATGGTGATGATGTAGATGATAATAATGTTGGTGATGATCATGATGCTGATGATGACCATGATGCTGCTACAGATGATGATGCTGCTGATGATGATGATGATCATCATCATGAGGAGGAGGAGGAGGAAGCCAGGAATGGGTCGAGGGAAAGCAGGAGGGGCGGACGGAGGAGGGAGAGGGAAGAGGGAGGGAGAGGGCGGCAAGAAGATCTTACGGTCGGAACAGAGCATGGAAGGGGAGCAGGATTGAGGTAGAGAGGGAGGGAGGAGGATGATGAGGGGATGGAGGGAGTTGGAGGGAGTTGGACCTGGATGCAGCGGGAGAGGAGGAAGGAAGGGGAGAACGGGTATGATGGTGATGATGTTGACGATGAGAATGATGATGATGATGATGCTGATGATGATGATGATGGTGATGATGATGCTGATGGTGCCGATGATGATGATGATGACGATGGTGCTGGTGATGCTGCTGATACTGATGGTGGTGGTGGTCATGATACTGTTGGTGGTGATGATGATGCTCATGTTGATGATAGTGTTGAGTAATGATGATGACGCTGATGATGATGATTATGAGTATGATGATGATGGTGCTGATGACGATGTTGATGCTGATGGCGATGCTGATGATGATGCTGATGATGATGATGATGATGATGATGATGATGGTGGACGTGATGATGATGGTGGTACTACTGCTGATGATGATGCTCATTCTGCTGCTGTTGCTGCTGATGATAATTCTGCTGATGATAATGCTAATGGTGCTCACTATGGTAATGCTACGGATGTTGATGGTGTTGCTGATGATGATGTTGATGATGAGACTGCTGAGTATGGTGATGATGATGGTGATGGTGATGATGATGATGATGCTGCTGATGATGCTGCTGATGCTGCTAATGCTGAATATGACGATGGTGGTGACGATAATGATAACGTTGATGATGGTGTTAACGGTACTGATGCGGATGATTATGTTGTTTTAATGATGATGGTGGCGGTTATGGTGACGATGACGGTGATGGTGATGGAGATGATGATGATGAAAATGATGATGATGATGATGATGATGATGATGATGATGATGTTGTGGATTATGATGCTGATGATGATGATGATGCTTGAGATGATAATGATGATGATGATGATGATGATGATGATGATGATGATGATGACGATGATGATGATGATGATGATGATGATGATGATGATGATGTTGGTGATGGTGATGGTGATGGTGTTGATGCTGATGCTGTTGCTAATGATGATGCGGATGATGCTGATACTGATGGTCATGATGAAACTAACGACGGCACATATGATGAGGATGATGAGGACGATGAGGAGGATGAGGAGGAGGAGGCGGAGGAGGAGGCAGTGGAGGAGGCCAGGGGCACCAGCAGGGACGGAGGGGGGGGGGACTGCGGGCACAGCGGAGGAACATGACGTCAGGCAAGAGAATGAGGGAGAGAGATGATGAGAAGGAGCAGGACGACGAGATGAAGATGAGGAGCTGAGGAGGAGGTCGACGATTAGTGGTAGGAGGAGGATGAGCAGCAGCGGGATAAGCCATAGGAGACTGAGGTGGCGGATGGCGGAGAGGGGTGGGAAGTGGGGAGGGGAAAGGCAAGCAGGGAGGCAAGAGAGATGAAAGAGAGAGAGAGAGAGAAGGTGTGAGAGAGAGAGAAAGAAAGAGAGATAGCGTGATAGAGAGAGAGATGACGATCACGATGAGGAGCACGAGCGGTGAGAACGAGGGAATGCGAAAGGATTGAGATGAACGAATGCGAAGCAGGAGGGGGAGGGAGCAGAAGAGAGGGATGGAGTGATTGAAGAGGAGGAGAAGGAGGAGGAGGATGAGGAGGAGTAGGAGGGGGAGGACTGTTTTTTTCAGGAGCGCGTGCTCCTTTGTTCCTAGGGCGGGGAAGCTTGGCTCCCCAGCCCAGCGGCGGTGAGGAAAGGGCGCGACGTCGGACGCCGCCGAGAAACAGCCTTGCGCGTCGGGGCGCCGCTCCGCTGCCCGAGGGTTACTCGCCTGGGATTCGTTGTATTCTTCCTCCCTCGCCTGCCTCCTGCGCTTGACCCTGCCATGTCGGGATCCTCCCCCTCCGCCTCCGCGTCCTCCTCCTCCTCGCTCCTCCTCGCTCCTCCTCCTCGCTCCTCCTCCTCGCTCCTCCTCCTCCTCGCTCCTCCTCGCTCCTCCTCGCTCCTCCTCCTCCTCCTCCTCCTCCTCCTCCTCCTCCTCCTCCTCCTCCTCCGCGCTCCTCCTCGCTCCTCTTCGCTCCTCCTCCTCCTGCCTGTGCTTGATCCTGCCCCTGACTCTCCCCTCCCAGCCCCCTCTCCGCTGCCGCTCCCCTACTCCGCTTCTTTCCGCCGCTCCGCCGGCTAATCTCCCCCTGTGCTCCTCCCTTCCCTCATCCTCCCTCTTCGGCCTTCTCCTGCCTTCTTCGCCCTCCCTCATCCTCACTCCCTCATCCTGCCTTCTTCGGCCTTCTCCTGCCTTCTCCTCCCTTCTTCTCCTCCCTTCCCTCACCCTCCCTCTTCGGCCTTCTCCTGCCTCCCCGTGCCGCTCTCGCTAAGCGAAGCGGCCGAGGTCCGCACGTCACTGCAGGGCGCTGGGTAGCGGACGGGGGGGTGCGAAAGCGGCAGGGGCGCCACCCCGTCTGCTCCGGCGCATCCTCCAGGCCTCGGCTTGCAGCAGAGCGCAGCCAGGGGAGTTCAGGAAGAGGCTCTCTTGCCTCCTCCCCTCCTCCTCCTCGCTCCTCCTCGCTCCTCCTCGCTCCTCTTCGCTCCTCCTCCCGCCTCCTCCTACTCCTCCTCCTCCGCCTCCTCATCCTCCGCCTCCTCCTCCTCCGCCTCCTCATCCTCCCGCTCTCGCTTGCCATGTTCCTGTGCCCTCCCCCATCGTCCCACCGTGCTCGTGGCCCCGCCCTCCTGCCGTCGACGACCGTGGGGAGCGAAGCCCGGCGGCGCGGCCGAGGTCGGCAGGGGAGCAGGAGTGAGGAGGAGGAGGAGGAGAAGGAGGAGGGGGAGGAAGAGGAGGAGGAGGAGGAGGAGGAGTAGAAGAACGGGAATCAAGCTAAGAGGGGTTTCCGAAGATATGGTCGGGAGATGGTTTCCGAGGTGTCCCCGAAACGCTGGTCCTTGGTGGATCGCACATCTGGTTTTTCTGAGATATGGGCCCCAGTATGGTTCCTGGAATCTTGTTTTTTTTTCGGCGCCTGGCGAGCTCGAAATCGAGCTCGGCGGATTTGCAATTGTTGACGGCAGCGCGATTCTCGTTTTCAGCGGGGTGGATGCAGGACGTGCGATTTTGGCACAGTAAGGGTATTCAAGCGCAGAGCCAGTATCTCCTCCATTCCCGTGCCCCTCACTTCTCAATGCAGCAGAAATCCGTACATATCCTCTTGCCCTCCCTCATCCCTCCCCTCGTGCTCCACCCCTACG